GATAAAGACTTCGAGTTGTCCGGGGGAGTATCAGCGCTTCTCGTGTTGACATAACTCTTCTCGGTAGTAGTGATAGCACTATAAGCATACCGAGCGGCTTTGTGGCGTCGCCTTCGACGTTTGCGAGCCTCCTGGGAGCGGCAACCTTTAGTCATGGGCGGTCAAATAGCCGACCCCAACAAGGAGAAAATAAACTGGCAGGTTACCAGTCGATCCTGAAACCATGCCCCAAGAAGCTCACTACCCAGCGCAACCAGAACAAATTCACAGAAACAGACTCTCGGGGGCTTCATCAAAAAAAATCATTGAGGAGCAACCATTCGCAGTTGAACCTCATCATCTACCTCTGAGATAAGATGATCACGCGCTGTCAACGACTTCAACGTGACGTTGAAGACATATACTCATAATCAGGTGGTCTTCCTCTTCTTATTCTCATCAGCCACATCACTCTTATGCTGTGAGGGACCAAATGGGCATTTACGGATCTTCAGCAACTGACACTGACTCCGACTGTAAGGGCAGGATCCTGTAGATGAGTAATCCGATCTTGAAGGCTCGTTATGGTCAGAACGACCATGACCTCTACCTCTTCCTTTGCCCGGAAAGCGACGATCAGAGATAGAGTCCCCAAATCTACCCATAGGGGTGGAACTATAGGCCTGGACTAGCAGTTCACTGTTAGTCCCCTTCAATAACGTCTTCGCTACCGCCTCACCATAGCTGATACCCTTCTTTTCTGCCAAACGACGGGCCAATGAGGACAAGCGTTGGCGGAAACCTTCATCATAACTAATACTAGCACCAACACTATGGGATGTTGCTATGCGAGCGAGGGTGATAATGTATTCAGCCAGAATATTGCCCACCGAAGCGGAAGAATTCACTTCCACCATCGCCGCCCACGGTACGAGACATAGTAGAAGTTCGGGGAAAGAACGTGGCTTCTTACCCGAAGAGCTCGTCGGAGGAATGAACACTATCTTCCCCTCGCTGTCAATCGTGGGAACCTTGTCGGACGACGCCGCTGATGGCTCACCGTTGACGAGAGCGACCTTAAACTCCTTGTAGGCAGCAATATCATTATGGGCAAGCTTCAGCATACCACCATCCGGTAAGAGCGATGCCGATGGCATACCACCATATCTTGCAGAAAAACGAGCAGAATAGTCTTTCAGCGAGGCTTCCTGCGAGCTGGATGTACTCTTGAGAGAAGACTTCGCACAAGCCTCCTTGATGAGAGATCTCACTTTCATTGCCTTCACAAGCCGTGATTGCTCAGCATCATCAGTCTCCTTAGCCGCCGCAGGGAATAATGAGTTGACCAAAGAGGTCAATAGTGGATCGTCTGACGCAAGACCAACGAGATCTCTCTGATTAGTGATCTCCATAGCAATGAGTCTCTCCACCACAGCGTCCAGAAGAACCTCTGGATAGTCAGAAGGCAGAAGCTGTTTAACTTCGTCATGAGTGGCGTTATTCATATTGGATTGGAGGAGGGAAAAGGAACAACTGAGCTTCCCAGGAATCACAAACCTCCTCTAATGGGACAATCTAGTCCTCTAATGTGTTCAAACCTCAGCGAAAATCAGCTATTAGCCATGAGCCAAGCTTAACAGGCTAGCATTCTAATTGTGAGGCGACACCAAA